TTATTCCCTTTGCGTAAAAAGTGAAGAGGTTTGATGAGATCCCGGATTCCTTACGACTACTGTATAATCTTAGGGATCTCTTTAGAGGATGCAAATATGTATTGTTATTTTTGTTTCTTTGACATAATGTAAAACAAATAAATAGGTATATATTTTATCCCACTACAAGTTAAATAGCTAAGTCGGTAAAGTTTATTTACTTTGCAAAACATACTTGTGGATACCTCTTTTTGCACATTAGGAAACTGTGTCCCAAAATAACTTTCACTGCTAACCTACAAAAGCAATGTTGTGAGTTTTTAATGTGTATTAAATCCCACTTTTCTGTAGGAAACGGTTTCTCCAGATTGCTTTTATAAATAATGCTTTGACAGGAATGTTAGAATAATTAAGGCAGAATTCTCAGCACAATCTTCAGATCCAGCACTGAGTCAAGCCAGGCTTCTAGGTCAGGCAGGAAGTGAATTGACGTAGTTGGCAAACACCATTGCGTAAGTGCTTCAGAAAGTGGGGAAGCCGAGTACACACAGTTGACTAATTAGAAGCAATGAAAAACAAGCTAATTGAACAGGTGAGCTAAGAGCTTTTGGCACATTCTTCCAAAATCTCTAATGTGGAATCTGCAAACTCTAATGACATTCTTTTTTAGCTATGACATATTCCTCGCTGCTAGCAAGATGTTTCCTCCATGGACAAAACCAAGCAAAGCATCAGGAATGATAACTTGGCAAAGAAAATGCACATGGGATCAGCACTGGAAAGGATGCTTCATATAAAGGGGTTTCCAGTAGTACTCTTCAATGCAAATGAGAAAGAAAGAAGGAAAAAAAGAAGATATGAGCCAGCAATGTTTATACACTACATTTTTAAATTCTTGTTGTTGCTTGCATGGGTGTAAAAATGACTTAGCAATCAGCCAATAAGTGCTCTCCTTTATAAACATGTGTGATGTCACACAGGGCCACCATCAGGGCATGATGGTTGTCACTGGCCCGGCAGTCCAGGGGGGCCCAGGTGCCTGGGCCCTACATTCTCAATGTTCACATATATTTAGCGATTGTGTAGTGAAGCAGGTGCTCAGCACACACCATCTTCAGTTTCCACAAACTCTCTCCAACTCTCTCTTGAGCCCCTGGCCGTCAGAGTCTTGCCGTGGGTTACCATGGCTCATAGAGTTGGAGAGAGGAGCTGCTGGAAGCTGAAGATGGTGTTTGCTGGACTCCCTCTTCACAACAGCACCTGGCAGCCTGCACAATGCCACTGGACCACCAGGGAGTGTAATGTCCCCCCTCTGCAAGGGGTTGAAAGCTGTTATGGTGTGGTAATGCCTGGGATTCTTGTTGCCTTAACGAGACAATGCAGCTAAATTCTACAAGTATGACATGCACAATTTATGTATTGGTTTTAAAAAAAACACAACTTTAATCATGTGTAATTAAGCAAAGTAAGATAAGCTTTAATGTGAAGGTAAGTTGTCCTGTATTTAAATGAACTCTAGTGTATAAAAAATGTATCATGCACAATGCTGGAGTGTTCTATAGTTAATTACGATTTCAGGGCCCCTTCTTCTTACAATAAAAAAAGCTATAACTTACATCTAATCCAGTCATTAGACAAATTCCTCGTCACAGCTCAGCTCCACCTCCAGCAGATCATCACCCATGATGATCTCCTAACCACTCCAATGTTGCTCGTAGAGAAGCATTGGGAGGCAGAGAGGAAGTGCTCAGCAATCACGATATTGCACCATTGTACTTCTCACAGAGAAGCATTGAAACAAATTCCTCTATATAAGAATCCATGTTGACCAGGAACTCAAATAGTATGAGTGAGCTCTTGGCTGTCTTACTGACATCTGAGAGTACATATCCTAGAAGTTTTATAAAAGTTTAAATCAAGCAGATGGGATACTATATTAACATCCAAAGCACTTCAGCAAGCTGTAGCTGTAGTATACCTTAAATATCCTGCAATACAAAAACATTTGCAAAAAAATCAGAAATGAAATGGTAATGTTATGTTTGGGAAATTTAGAATATCATTTGGGACAGATTGACTGGGCAATTCATTTTAAGCAGCTGTAAATGGCTTTGATATTTTCAAATTTTTGGTTGAATGGTGATTTGCCAGGCCCTCTTGCAGATTTCCTCATGTTAATTTAACGTGTCTTATTATTATTATTATTATTATTATTATTATTATTATGATATTTATAGAGTGCCGTCAAATTCCGCAGCGCTTTACAATGGGTGGATGAACAGACATGTAGTTGTAACCAGACAAGTTGGACACACAAGAACAGAGGGGTTGAGGGCCCTGCTCAATGAGCTTACATGCTAGAGGGAGTGGGGTAAAATTACACAAAAAGGTAAGGAGAGTATTAGACTAGTGACAGTTGCAGAAGAGGAATCAGTCAAGAGCTATTAACAGTTTAATTGATACGCTTTTATGAAGAAGTGGGTTTTTAACGATTTTTTGAAGGAGTGGAGACTGGGTGAGCATCTAATGGAACGGTGCAGCCCTCGAGAAATCTTGAAGGCAAGCATCAGAGGTGGGAGTACGGACAGAAAATAGACGTAAGTCTTCAGCAGATCGTTAGGACCTAGACGGGACATACTCGTGTATAAGGGAGGATAGATAGGTGGGAGCAGCATTATGTAGAGATTTAAAAGCAAGAACCAGAATTTTAAATTGAGCTCTATATTTTATAGGAAGCCAATGTAGGGACTGACAGAAGGGTGAGGCATGGGAGGTGCGGGCGGACAGGAAGATGAGCCTCGCCGCCGCATTCATTATGGACTGTAACGGCGCAAGTTGGGAGCATGTAAGACCACTGAGAAGCGGATTACAGTAGTCAAGGCGAGAACGGACAGTGGAATGGACCAGCACCTTAGTCGCATCTAGCGTTAAGTAGGGGCGGATGCGCGCAATGTTTTTGAGATGGAAATTACAGGATTTGACGATAGATTGAACATGAGGCTCGAAGGAGAGGTCAGAGTCAAAGAGAACACCTAGGCAGCGAGCCTGCGTGGTGGAGCTGATGGTAGCACCGTTGACTTGGAGGGGGACAGACACAGGAGTAACAACATTTGAGGGAGGAAAGACCAGAATTTCAGTTTCGGTCAAGTTTAGCTTAAGGAAGTGGGCAGCCATCCAGTTAGAAACAGCAGAGAGGCAGTCAGAGACACTAGTCAAGAGGGACGGGGAGAGATCAGGAGAGGACAGGTAGATTTGCGTGTCATCTGCATAGAAATGATATTGGAAGCCAAAGGAGCTAATGAGTTTACCAAGGGAGGCAGTATAGATGGAGAACAGTAGGGGACCAAGGACTGAACCTTGGGGACACCAACAGAGAGGAGGTGGGGAGAAGAAGCAGAGCCAGAAAAAGAAACACTGAAAGAGCGCTGGGAGAGGTAGGAGGAGCACCAGGAGAGAGCAATATCTTGAAGACCGATATTGCGGAGGATGAGAAGAAGCTGTTGTTGATCAACATTGTCAAAAGCCGCAGACAGGTCAAGGAGAATTAGGATAGAGTAGTGACCACGAGATTTTGCAGCAAGTAGATCATTGGATACTTTGGTCAGTGCCGTTTCCACAGAGTGCTTAGCGCGGAAACCAGACTGAAGCGGGTCTAGCAGAGAGTTGAACTCGAGGAAGTCTGTCAATCTCGCATACACAATTTTTCAAGGATCTTGGATGCAAAAGGCAGTAGCGAGATAGGACGATAGTTGGATGGGGAGTTAGGGTCAAGATTGGGCTTCTTTAGAATTGGGGTTACAGTTGCATGTTTGAAGGGCAATGGAAATATACCAGAGGAGAGAGAGAGATTGCGAATTTTAGTGAGAGCTGGAGAAAGAGAAGAAGACAGAGTACGGATGAGATGCGAGGGAATTGGATCTAGGGAGCAGGCGGTGGGGCGGGAGGACTGGAGCAGAGCAGAAACCTCTTGCTTGCAGAATTCGATTCAGGGCATGGATTTTAAAAAAAATTGAATAATTTGTCAGCGCAGTGGGATGTGGGGAATATCTATGGAACATGTACTGGCCAGTGTCAAATATATATATATATATATATATATATATATACACACACTTTTACACACATAGTATGTATACAGTATACTGTGTACCCAGAATAGAGATAGATTCAATGTGCAGAGCAGACTGTGTCACATAGTATAAAGAGGAATTCACTGCACAGAGCATTCTCACAAGCGCACAAATTCTCACAACTTCTGGAATAAAAGGGAATCATGACAGAATATTTCCATCTTGTCCTTAAGGGGTTAAAAAGTCTACTTACCCAAAAATCACATCTTTCAACTCCACTATAGTTAATAAGTTTTACAGTGTACTTTTTAGTAAATATACCCTATATGTACCATCCCACAGCTCCTAGCTTCTGAGGGCCTGCAAGAAATTGTAGGGTACCACGGCATCCTTTGGGTCTTAATTGATTCTTTATTTGCAATCTTATCCGCTAATGGTGTACTTCTAAGTAGGCATTTTCACAACAAATAGAAAAAAATGAATTCCCTATAAAAAGCAGGTATTTTTGTAACGGTTTCCAATTAAAACCTTACCGATTCATCCTCTTAATGCACAATTCAATTTATTCATATAGGCACATAAAATAAAACATAATAGATAAGTAGAAAAAAAGCATAGCCCTATAGTACTATGAATCAAAAATTCAAATCTCTCTTGATAGTTCAGAAAGAAAACCATTGTTCAGTGTTAGGCTATTCAGAAGGTCTAATGAAGAAAGTATACATCATCTTTGCCCATGCATTAGCTGATATATAATGTCATTAAGCAAAGCATTATGTCAGATGCTCATTGTATGCCATTGAAGGCAAATTTAGTTCGAGCTTTGTGTGTTTTCTGAGTCTCTGAATAGGTATTATGTTCTATCAAGCCTGCATTGTTCGACAGATCTTATGCTTAACAATGACTCATTGTGAAGAATACAAATATCAGGGCATAAAATGCCAGTTTTCTGGAGTCCTGTGCATTTTCTGTATTTTTCAGAGTCGTACGAACGTGGATTTACCTGCTCTAAACACGCTCTACACCTGTTGTCCGAACGGTTATGGAATGTTGGCTCTGAGGATATGTTTTGGCCTGGATATAACTTTTTGGAACTATGGAAGTTGAATTGCAAATGGATGTCAGGTGCTCTGACAAAACATCACAGATTCAGTTGGGATATGTGTTGAAGGAAAGCTGATTTCATTCTGAACACTGAATATGTTCTTAAACCTTGGAATAACACATTTCGAGTTAGGATGGATACAATGGATACAGCATAACTGGGTGGAGGATATACAAAAATGGGACCAGGAAATATAAAGCAGCCATGTGCCATATTATTGTCCTTTCAACTTCCTGTCATTGCTATTGGTCAAAAGGGGTCAGAGACATGGCTAAAATCTACTATTTTTGGAATGCACACGTGAATTTGTTTGGTTGTCTCTTGGTAATGGGGGATAAAGTTTAAAATTAGCATAACTCCAACTTCCTTTCTATTTCCATATGAAAAACATGAACTTGTTTTTTTTACTCATTTGAATCTCAAAATATTTTCTTTGCATTGCTAGGTTACAATTATATATTTTTTTTTAACCAGATTCATAGTAAATAAAAAGATATTTTCATTTTAAATTTTTTACTTGTTTGTGGCAACATCTATATGATTTATTAACTAAACACTAAAATGTAGTTAATTGAAAACCAAATTTGAACATTTAGGCAAAAAGACCTGAGTTGGAAACATTCGCCGACTCACTTATAGTCTCAGTATAAAATTATCTTAGCCAGTATGTTGCGATTTATTTTTTCAGTTTTTTACAGTTTGTTGTTCTATAATTCTAATGCACAGATAATTTTAGGGATTAATTCATAAAACAGCGAGTTTTTTTGGTAAGTAGAATAACCACTTGATTTTGCAGTTTGATTGTGAACCCAGTTTGCAGTTTGATTAGTTGAGGAAGTTAGCATGTTGGTACTAGCAATTCCATTTAGCAGTATACCAAGTGTCAGTATTAAGAAGGATCCTTTTTATTTAAACTTACATTTCATGATTATCAATTTTTATTGTCCCATGCTACAGCATAAAAGATAATTGAATGTTCATTTCTATGCTGTTACACGATATAGATAGATAGATAGATAGATAATTAGTTTTAAATATTTTAAATCGCTAAGTTAAATGAAACACGTTTAGTTATATGTTTATAATTTGAAAAAAGATCAAGTTGCGTTATTTACCACATCTAAGTGCTGTATTTACGTAGCATAGTACACAATTTAAAAAATTCTAAATTTTGAAAAGTGTCAAGAAGTAGTCATAAAACATTGTGGCAATTAAATAGCCTAACATTTTTATTATAAAAAAAAAGTAAGTATTTGCTATTGTCTGTTTTTTTTGTTTTACTGTTATAATTTTCAATTGATTTTACTTCCAACTCTAAACAGGGCTATTCATCAAAGTGAGAATTCACAGTGAATTCAAAGTCATTTTTCAAATTTAAGATCAAAATAGCCAAACTGCAAAGATTCTCTAAAAAAAACGACGCTTTCACTTCAGTCACTCTGGCCTTAAATTTGAAATTCTCTTTAATTTCACTTTGAATACTCACTTTAGCCAATAAGCCTATAAATGTTGAAATGTTTAGACACATGCCACTCAGATTAATGGGCTTTGCCTTTAAATTGCTTTATAACTCAAAATGAAAAAAAAAAGGTATAACTTGCACATGAAAAAAAATGTGTGAAATGTATGAAATATACGAATGAAATCAGGGGCATTACAAATGAAAAGGGCACTGATTTGGGCGCAAAGTGCTAAATGTTTAGAGGTGCTCTATCAGTTTCCATGGTTGTTGCCCCATAATTAGCACTTTGCCCCAGAATAGCGCATGGTTTTGCTTTGACAAATCTCTCCCAAAATGCCTTTAAGTATATGAGTTCACAGAGTAGTATTTTAATGAACAAGTAAAAATACATAAATAGTATAATATTTTTAATGAAAGTATGCCAACATATTATATTATTAAATATGGCCTCTTTAAATAGCAATTTTTGCTATTGAATGTCTTCTTATTCTTCTTTGTGTTAGAAAATGTTCTAAGTGAGCTAGAACTGCTGTATAAACCTACTATAGCCGTACCAGAGCTGCCATGTACAGAGCTGGTGCACAGCTCTGGACCATGTGAGTTCAGTTTCAAGAAAATCATAGAAATTATGCATACAGAATATTAATTAACAGTATATATATATATATATTTATTTATTTGTGTATATAATTTTTTATTAATATATATATATATATGTAATAAATATATATATATATTTAAACTGTTAATTAACCCCTTAAGGACACTTGACATGTGTGACATGTCATGATTCCCTTTTATTTCAGAAGTTTGGTCCTTAAGGGGTTGATATTAATATTGTTTTCTAGGGGGAAAACTGCAGCTACTATGTTATAACACAAACTTAACTTTATTATTTATTGTGAAAAATATTTAAGAACTAATTTCTCACATACGCACTGTAACTGGGCAAATTATATATTTTATAAGCATTTTATAAGCATTTTTTATTTATTTAACTTCTATAAAAGATCAAAACATATGGTATCCTTTTTGCAACATACTTAAATCTACAACCTTTTTAAAATGCAATTAATATGTATTCAATCTTTTGATTGAGCAGCACTTATTTGCATGAGAGTTAAAGTTTAATTCTCAAAGTATAAATAGAAAATTCTGTTACTATAGGTTCTTCAGAATATTCTTGAAAACAAGATAAATCTCAATGTATCCTTCCAGGTAAAACATTTTTAAATACATAATTGAATAACTTAATTAAACAATGAATTTAGGAGATATGACGGTGGAGTTTCCACATTTTAGGACATAGTAGCATATATGAAAAAACTGCTGAATTGGGGATTTTTTTTTTTTCCAATTTTGGCCTCAATTTAATAAGCTTTCCAAATTATTCAAATTATTTATCTACAGAAGTCAGTCTTAAAGTTTATGGGTTTATTTGTAGATAAATCATTTGGGGAAAAAATTCTAACAGAATTATAGAACAATTTGTAAAATGTATTAAATCAATGCCTGTGTTATTTATACATATTTTGGCCTGAAACTTGCAATTTATATGCAATTACCCAAAATATTAGTTTAGTGAACATATTCCAGTCAAACTAGAAATAGAAGATAAACTCATCAAGTATACTTGCAAACAAAAATTAGAATATTATAGAAAAAAAAATAGAAACAGAAATACAAATTTAAGATTAAAGGGCAGACTAGTTGGGCCGAATGGTCCTTATCTGCCGTCACATTCTATGTTTCTATGTTTCTAAGATTTTTTATACAGTTAACATGTTCCACTTATATACATGTTATTGTATTTTGGTAAGCAGTTGCTAATTTAGCAATATTGTTTGTTTAGCCTAGGATTGGCTGATACAAGGATGCAGGTTTAATCTTTGGAAGCATTGTGAATGCACGGCAGGTAGCTAGCTACCCAACCCACAGAGAAACAGCAAATCTTTTTTTCCCAGTAATTCCCCACCATTAGCGAGTTTAAGAGGACTCTGATTTAACTAACTATCTACCTTTGCATTTACTTACAATGGACCTGGTTTACAGATTGGATTGCTGTGTCTCACTGAGAGATACATTTCAATTCTGTAGAGAAATGTAAACAGCTCTTTGATGTCTCTCACACTACTGATGAGCTTAGTTGGTTAACATACAATGATTTTGTTAATGTGTATTGTGTATTATCTGTCCAGAGGAATAACAGTAAGAGACAGAGTAACTGCTTCCATTGTATCACATTAACCACATTTAAACTTCATGTAGTCAAACCCAGCATGAAGCAATGATTAGAATAAAACTATCAGGATGTCAACCTGCAGTTACCCTGACCCCATTTACTCCTAATATTCTTATATGTAATCCCATTAATTATACCTCTGCAGTTGCACTGGATTGAATAATCTCTTTAAAAAACTGTTTCATAATTGAGTCAAAACAAATTACAAATTGATTTATGTAAGCTTTTTAATTGGTTTCTTTGTGATCTCTTTAATATTCGGCTCTTGTCAACTCAGCAATTAGTGGATATTTATTGAATATTTTATATGTATATATCTATCCAATAAATAAGGTATAATTGCATACTGCAATACTCTGGTATTTTGGCATTATACATATATAGTTAACAAATATCAGTAATGCATTCACAGGTTTCTGAAAAAGAATTTGCCAATTTATTCTCAAAAAAATAACAAAATCACCAAAATCATGAATTAGAGCACAGCACGGTTTTGATTGGAGTGCTCCCTCCAGTCAAACTCATGTTTTTTTCAATTGAAAGAACATGTTTTAACTCCCAGTTTGCACAATGTGATGTCCCATTGTAATGCCCCATAAATCTTCATGCAGATTAGATTCATGCAAGCTTGAGTTTTCTGAGATTTGTTGCATTTCTCAGGCAATAGCTGAAATTCTAAGCTGCTGTCATGAAATGTGTCCCCCTTCCAGTCACTTATATTGTGGGTGAGAAGCTAGAGATAGAGAGAGAGGGACGCTGTTTTCTCTCCTCAACAACTCTCACAGCATTTTAATAAAAGGAATGTGACTTTTATCAATCTCAGGCCTTCTGGTTCATTTAAATCCTGATGCTGCCAAGAGTATGAGGGAGTATGTGTGAGTCTGCATGTGTAAATGTGCGTGTGTGTCTGTGTGCGTATGTTTGTGTCTGTATGTGTTTGTGCATTTGTGTGTGCCTGTGTGTTGTATTTCAAAGCAGATGGGATGATAGTGAACAATCCAGTAGTTGTGTGTTCCCAGAAAATAGGCACTTGAAGGACAAACAACCTTCTGACTGGCTTGCTTTCGTCTACCTGCTTATCTGTCTGTCTATGCAATCCATACATCCACCCATTTTACATATCCAAAAAATGGTAGGTATGGGTCTGGGAGACCAGGGAAGGAATGCTTCCAGAAGGCAGCAATAATGGGCAGGACTGCCTTCAAAGTTGTCAGACTTCCCTAAAAAGGGGCAAGTTAACCTGCCATGTATGCCCACAAGACTGACTAACAGCCACTCTGCCCATCTAATGATGCACTAATTCTATAGGGACAGATGCAGGACACCAGGAAACAAACCTGGGACATTTGGACAGGATCCTGTATTTATA